GCTCGCGAAAAGAACTTGATTGATGCTTAAGTTGATTGTTCCGGACGCTTGCAAGGATAATTGGCCAGCAAGGCGATTCGGCAGAGGCACAACAGGGTTAAGGACCACAACAGTGCGCGCGGCCCACGTCATTACTGGGGCCAAAACTCTGCAACGTTATCGCGCTCTCGACACGGCTTCTCTCTCTGTTCATCAACAACGCTGAATTTGCAATGTGAATCGCAATGAGAAGGGCATGGCCTCCAAATCGATACCCAATTGCAAAAGGAGATGCTGTTATAAATTTGTGTTTTTGAAAGCCAATGCATCCAGAAAGCGTTCCGCAGTCGTTTTTGAGCATTCAGGGTGGTTGATGGTGATGTACGAGTTGGGTCCTACTTCGGGCATACCATCCCGCTTAACCAGCGTCAAGTGGCGCATTTTGCAAAAGACAAGCCCATTGGGATTGGCGGCGCCACGGCATATGGAACACGCGTATGACGAGGATGAGTTCAGCTACCAGAGGCCAATATTTTTGAGCCACCTAGTACATTTTGGTGCTCAGAGGGAGGGCGGGGATCGATCGCATCTCTGCCGTGTTTTGCAGACGAATCGTACTTTACTCCTAGACAGAATAGCAAACTCTACGCTTGCCCCAGCGTGATGATGCAGGGTATGGGATTGGGTTTCATTGGCGAGCCCCTCGGAAGACCCTTCCAGGCTTGAACGACTCGAGTGCATCCTGGGGGATTGTACTCTAATATTGTGAGGGTTCATGGTTTACAATGTCGGCTCTGGGCGCACATGTGTGAACGCGCGTAGTCTACTTGAGGTGAGGGTAAATGCGTGGCCAGGCTTCCGCTGGCCATGGACAACTGGTTGGTTCGCCCGTCGAGCGTCATGGGCAATTGCGGGCAGGGGCAAAGGGTCAGGCCACAGCGCCGCCATCGCAGCCGTCATCTAGGTACTCCCCCCCCCGTCATCGGCGAGAGCGAATTAGCAGTGGGGGAGCAAGACAGGAATTCAATCGCGCGGCCACGACGTCGACGCCTGGAATCCGGAATTCGCAAATGCCCCAAGACATTGGGTGCAATTGGCATGCGTTTGGCAGGCGTGCCGCTAGCACGGGGCGCTAGCCGCACCAGGCACCCAGCCCGCCGTATCCAGCAGTCTCGCGGGCGCCATGATTGCTGGGACGGGCCCTCCGCCCTCCCCTACGCAGCCCGCGCGTATCCCTCGGAACCGGGGACAGGCCCTGCGCCCTCGCATGCTGCAGCGCCCGGCGAGGCAGGCGCAATGGCGGCCTGGCTGATGGACATAAGAACGCCCGCAGCCCGCCCGTCTTCGCCCTCTCTCCTCCTCCACCTCCACAGCAGAAGCAGATCCCCCCCCACAGGCCCAACATCTCCCTCGCCGCTCACACCAGGACTCCCTCGAAACACCCTTTCGCCCCAACAGTCAAGATGATGCCTTCATTCGCCACCCTCGCTGCTCTCGCACTCCCTCTCCTTGCCGTGGTCAGCGCGCAGGCTCCATTGGTCTGCTTCCAGGACTGTGCCAACACTAGCTTCCAAGGATTCGGCTGCCCAGGCCTCGACTTCAACTGTATGTATCTGTCTCCATTTGCACAGCATTGTCATCACGTCCTAACAGAGATAATTAGGCTACTGCGGCCTTGAGAACGGAGCGTTCATCAAGCGCCTTGCAACATGTGTTCAAGCGAAATGTACCCCAGAGACTGCTAAGCTCTTTGAGTCTTTCCTTGATGCCAGCAAGTGCCCTGTCGTGCCTTCTAACACTGCCTCTGCCTCTGTCTCTGCACCCGCATCCGCATCCAACTCTGCATCTGCATCTGCCTCTGCAACTGCTGCCCCAGTCACCACTGCAACATTGACAACCACTGTCACTTCCACCGCCAATGGAACTACTCCCATTACCACCACCGTTATCAATGGAAGCACAACTTACACCACTACAATCATTCCTTCCACTACTCTCCGAAACGCCACCGGAACCGTCACAATTCCAACTTCCACTAGCTTGACCACAATCACCCAGGGGAGCACCACAGTCACATCAGCAGTTACCACCTTCTTTGGAACTTCCACAGTTTCTACCGATGCACCATCAGGAACTGAGACCGATTCTCCAGGTGCTGGTGCCGTCTTGGCCAGTGGCCAATACTTTGCTGCCGTTGCCGCTGGTCTTGCTGCAGTGTTCGCTGCATTGTAAGATTAAATGTTGGACGAAAACAAAGTTAAACCTTTCTATTATCATGGACAAAAAAATATTTTTGAAGTTACGGGAGGGAGGGTTGCATCTGGCACGATAATGATGGGGTGAGATGGATGGGTAGCACGGATGCAATTTCCGAGGGGGATATATCTAATGACGGAAACGACAGAATAATTAATGTAATACGACCTTTTCACGCTAATAATGCATATGCTTCTTTTTTTTAATTTGCTATATGGGCTTGCTACTTTTTTTCTTTTTTCTTCTTTTCTCATCTTTTCTCGAGAGCACACTTTTTTTTCTATCCTTTTTATCATTGTATTTTTCATATTTCGTTTCTTTCCACATCTCTCAATGTCGTTGTCTCCTTGCATGCTGCATGTGAGCAACATACTCAATTACTCGTTGGCAAAATATCTGTGGGATGGATGCATGAACCGGTTGTTTGTGGGGAATTTTGGAAGAATGAATAATATGGATATGGATATGGATAAGCCTGAACTTTCGTTGCAATTGTGTCTCATTTTGAATTTGTGATCATGGCATGAGATTGTGATGCTGTCTTCTCTCACGTTTGAATTCCCCAAGTTGGTGGTCTAAGCGAATTTGTTTAACGAGAGGTATGAGGCTAAACGCCTGGGGACGAGGCTATGAGGGATGTGCGTTCCTGCCATGCGACCTTACTCGCAATGCTCAATTTCCACCCGCAACAGCATTTTCTTTACCCCGCGAAAATGTATCATGCATGCAACTACCTACATCGTCATACGTCGACGTCTTCCCCCTTGATAATTTGGATGTTGTGGTATGCCCACGAGACTAGGTATGCCGTGCACATCCTTTTCAATTTTCTGAGTTGAAATCGCGATTGCTACCTGAGTACAGATGCAATTTTGTGTGCCTGACCTGTTGTATTCATGTGATCACACTTGTCATACCGGCCGGGACTTTCTCCGCAATATCGATCGCACCACACAGCATGGTCATATATATATTGCTTGCTATTTTGAGTTGGGTTGTTTGTTACGCATACTCTCAGTTCTATTTTGTGCGATTGATCGATCGTCAACTTTTAAGTTACGCTCGCATATGCCGAGAATTAGGGGATATCGATCAGGCAGGCATTGACGACCGTAACAAAATCTCTATACATATACAATGCTCGCTCTTATTCAAGGGAGATTTGAGATTTCGGGTATATCGGGAAAGCGGGAGTTGTAGCAATAGCGGATACCACTCTCTAGGTGCTTGCACTAGTGAGACCCCGTCTACCCGCGCCAACCCCCCCCCCAATACCTCTGTAACTCCTGCTTACCCCGTGTCCACTGCGTTCCCGTATGTACCTTAGGTACTTGGTGCCAATCTCCGTGGATGCCGTCTATCAAGTGAAATTGAGGTACTTGGAAAGGTAAGTAAATATAAAGCAATATTAATATATGAAAGAAAAGAGGCCTAGGATCGATTTACTACATCAAAAGAATATAGGTCTAGATCAAGTGGTCACTAAGTACTTAGCCTTCGATATCGATCGAGAAGGTCAAGACGTTCCTTGCAATATACAGTCCGTTTCTCATTTCTCATCATGTGTATGCACACAATCATATGCATATGCATCAGACTTTTACATGTTCAAGGGGACATCGATATGATGATGCTGGCCCCCTCGATACCATACGATATATGGGAACGAAATAAGAAACAAGCTACCTAAGTTTGACGTGGGTTTTGTTTACTGCCTACTGAGGTACAATTTCAAGACTGGTGCAGTGCAATAGAAGAAGTACCCTAGACCTGTTGTTCCCGATTGCTGCACCGAAACGAAACTAGGTACATGTACTCAGGCACGAGACTATGTACTCAAGTACGAGTACGCACACTTCCTAAAAAAGTAAGCCCAACCCTCACGAACTACCACATCAGGAAGTCGACCAGGCATTCTCACATCCCTGCCCCTAGTTAGTTACTTCCCTTTCTGACTTTGCAACGACTTAAGTACCTCTGGACCCCACCATCCGATCCGAGCCAACTAAACCCAAAAGGCAACAAACCCCACATCACATCACAGCTTAAGATAAGATATGATATGTATGTACGAAGAGCACTGGGTCTGGCACAAAAAAATCTCCCGGTTTGTTGTGGACACCTTCTTGATTGAGCGTCGGAAAAAGCTCAGGCAGGGCCGCTTAGGGGTGTTATGTGTTAAACTGTTAATGTTAAACTAGGCTTTTTTCTGCCAAAAAAAAAAACTTTAATCACACCACCATGGCCGCCACATCGATGGATTGAACCTCACGCCTACATGTATCATATCAATACTAAAGTACTAAAGTACTAAAGTTGTTCGGCTAGTTTAGAGCTTTCGCTTACCTAGTATCTAGAGTACCTACATAAGTACTTAAGGTATTGACACCCAGCTCATAACTTTGACATTGCAAGCGTCCTAAAGTGTCGGTCGATATTCAGATCCTGTAGACAGCAACTTTAGGCTGTGGCTTCTCTATCACTATCAACAGTAAAAAGTGCGTCTTTTGTTTGCCAAGTTTAACACCCTGAGGGACCCTGAGCTAGTTTGACTCTTCATCAAGAAGGTGCCCCACACGAACCGAGAGATTTGGTGCCAGATTCCCTCTTCGGTCTTCGAGGGACTGGGTACGAACGAGGCTTAGTCTGGTGTTACGAGAGACTACCTTGAGAAATATTCGGCAACGAGCCTAAAAAGAAACAACACTTAAGCTTCCAAACATGAGGAGGGTTTTCCAAAAAAAAAAGAAAGAGCAAAAAGAAAGTCCCTTCGACCGGAGTCGAACCGGTGACCAATGGATGATCTGAAACGTCTATTACAGTCCAGTGTGATACCAACTACACCACAAAGGGATGACTTGATGTCACTTCTTGTGAGTTGTGTGCTCTGACCAGGTGCATTGGAAATGGAGATAGAGGAGAAGACACCGGTTTTCATCAATTGCAATTGGTTCAGATTGTCCTCGTTCCGGTTCAGATGATCATGATCATGATATCTCAACCTGTAAAAACCTCCGCAAATAGATACTTCAAATATAGTACTATCCCCCCCCATTCACGATACACCCACAAGATATCCAAAAACTATACCTAACTAGAGCACAACACTTTCCCCCAATCGATAAACCACCTCCGGACCCTACTTCAGTCTCTCTCGCTCCTGCTCCAAATCAAGGATACTCAAACAACGCCATCGCCGCAAACGAAGCAATAGCCTCCTGCACCCTACTCGTCGGATGCCATGCATCCAACCAGAAGAACCTCCTCACACTATACTTACACCTGGCGTCATACTTTGCTTCAAAATTATGCCACCCCGTTCGCGCGTTATATCCCAGATCCGGGGCCTCGAAGGGGACATAGTGCGGGCATCTCCCGGTTTTGTTGATGAAGCCGTAGGCGGAGGCGTTGACGTCGAAGTGGTGGAAGAGGGCGTGGGCGTCGACTAGGAAGAATGTTGCCTGTGTGTGCGTTTTGAGGTGTTTGGTTAGTTCGTTTGGGTCATTGGATGAGAAAAACGAGTTAGGGAAGGAGAAGGGAATTATGATGGGGAAAGTGAAAAATAAGGAGAGATGGGGGAGGCGGGTAGAAGACGGGAGAGGAGGGTTTACAGATTTCCAGATTTTTTTGTAGTCGTTGATTTTATCCTTGAGTTTGGTGTTGAACTGATATACTGAAGCTCGGATAGAGTTTTGCTCGGCAAGGGTTCGACCACGAAGCTCGGGGGTGAGTTCGAGTGGAGGGACAGTGAAGAAGACGAGGTTGCGAGCGCCAGAGTCGTATAGCTATGAGAAGAAGGTCCAATTAGCAATTTTTGGAGTACTTCTACAAGCCATCTATTATAATCCGAATTGTTCTTTCACAACTCCTGGTAATCAAATAAAACAGAAAGGAGGTCCCATACCTCTGTCACACCAGTGAAATAGGAATCAAGAATCTGGGCGAGGGGGCATTGTTAGCACATTAACCATAACAGTTGGGCAATATTTGTAGCTACCCTGTCATGTAGGGCACTTGAAGAACCGTTTGTCCAACCTATTGAAATATATTTTAGCGTTGTGGCGTCGCAAAAATATGGCTTCTGAGGGTAATCTAACCATTGCTTCTCCACAAATCATTAATGCCGAACCAGAAAAAGAATAAACTATCACCACTGGTCCAAGGATACGGCCAATCGGGGGTATTTGGACTATTTCCCAATCGAAATCTAAATTTTTTGACCTGCTCTCGGAAGCACTCTATCAAGTCCAAAAATGGGGAGACAACATAACGATCAACAGTGGCACCACCGAATGCCATGTTGAAGCTGATTACGTTGGAGTAGTTGAAATGATAAACGAGCTCCGTCGGCCAGGATGGTCCATTCCCTGAGCCATGTCCTGGGTAAGCTACTCCAATTGGAGCCTGGAGACTTGGTTTTGGGGAGGAGTTGATGTCATATCGGATGGTTGTGTAGGAATCCCCACTATAATGGCAAAATGTTTCATAAAGTTAGAGTGAATTCAAGGCGAGATAAAGTTGGATTGGATGGTATGGGAACTCACAAGAAAAACATGTACTTGATTGTTTGGATTCCAAAGTAAAAATCGCCTTGTATTGTCGTGTCTTGCCGTTTTTCGGTGATTCCACCGGCGCCATGGTGACTTGGTGGTTGGCTCGCAAGCCCATTCTTTATTCCCAGGAGGAAGACAAAGTAGAGAAGAAACCGAAATCTGGTCATTTTTGCCTGTGCACGCCTTGTTTTTATTGAATTTTGGTATTTTTTTTTATTAAATCTTCTCAGGATGAACAAATGATCCGAGTTCATTATTTGGACTATCCTCCGACTTATAAAGAAGGCCATAATGAATGGATTATGATGGAAATTGGAATTCTTCATGAAGGTGCTGCCCGGCTTGGGAAATATTGCCTGTGAGAAAAGAGACCGCCACCCTGAATGATCGTTTGAAGCCCATTCTCTTTTGAAGCCCACGTTCTTTCAAGTCGCCATTCATGACATTTGACAGATGTTATTCGCCGGTAGCCGAACTGTCAAGTAAGGGGTCTTGTGTCCAACCAACCGCCAGATGTCAAGTACCTTTGCACCATGTTTCGGTATGTATGTACGGGTGCTACCTGTTGCACTCCCTCTTGTGAGAAGCGGCACCTGTTTTATTTTTTTGCTTGGGAGGAAGGATTCAGGCAGTCTCGTAGTCTCGTCAGTCTCGAGGATTTAGGATGTCGGATGCAGCGGAACATGAACATGACTGGATGCAGCGTGCCTTATACACACCAAATGCGGCGGAGAGGTTGTAGTGCCCGAGATGTACTCGTGTAGCGAACAATATTCCTGGATGAAGCCCAGGCGTGGAGGCATTGTTATCTTTCCTTAATTTACTGAAATGATTCTGCAAATCTACGACAGCGAAAGACACAAGCATAGGGAGGCTCATCAGAATCCACTACTTCCCGCTGCAATCTTGTAGAGTACTAGGAGGTTGTACATGTAGGTATGCACACCGCACACCGCGGCTAGCATTCTGCGGCCGATTGCTTGGCTGCTGCGGGGGGAGCCAAAGACAGCTGGTTTCGACGAGTCAGCCCGAGGAAAGCATCCCTCTCTTGCGCACCGACTCCTCCCCCAGCCCACCCCACGGGATCACGCAACACCCACGCCATGGATATGCTTTCTCAAAGCTCAGCAGACTCAGCTGTACATGGCGATGTCGGACTCGTGGTAAGTCTTGCCATTGTAACCGATGAAAGGCGCGTGGCTCACGTTGTGGATGTAGGACAGAGATCAATCACTGCCAGCGTGCCTGGCCCTACTTGCCCAAGACGCAAGGATCCGATGTGGATGAATGGCAGTTGATCGGATACTAGACTCAGGTGGTATGCATCTACAGAGTGGCGGCGTGAAGCCAGTTCGGCACAATTCTGGCAAGTTCAGCCTCTCAATCTGGGCCTTTGCACCATTCAAGTTGGTATTCATCAATTCTCTGCCGGGGTTAATTGGTAAAGAACAGCTCTGGAAACTTGTTTGGATCATGGCTCATGAAGAGTGTCAATTAGATTCCTCAAAGAAATTCATTAAAGCAATCTGCTAACTAAGAGCTACCCCAAAAGTGCCACAGGTTGTGTTCCCTCAAACGCTGCTCACTGGCCGGGCCGACATCGCTGCCTTGAACCCGAGCTCAGCGACTTTAAGCTTTGGAGCTCGAGCAAAGCCCAGCTCCCTTCCATCCCCCTCAGTCCTCAGCCTATCCTCCTCCAATCCGCCATTCCCACCGTAAGGCATGCAGTGCCTTGAACCCAATCCCAGCCCTCCCAAAGCCCCAGTACCACCCAACATATGCAGCCATCCACCGATCTCCAGATAATCATCCTGTTGGATGGTCATCAGAAGCTAACCAACAATTCCTCCCATTAGTGTAATGAATCCAGCCCAGCTTCCAACTTCTGGAAGACCAATCGATGCCACCCCAGCGCTTCGCCCACACGGCAATTGGAGACAACTATGCAGTCTTCCAGAAAATCCTTCCCATATTCCAACCCAACCCATGGCCAAAAAGTCAAAACTCAAAGAAACAAGAAATGCATCGCTAATACACATTAAGCATCCAAATACAAGCCCAGTACCCACAACGCAACCCAACGCCCGAAAAAAAAGCCAAACAATTTGAGAGCACCTGACAATTGAAAATGGGCTGATTATGCAGCTCTTGCGCTCGACCACCAGCATATACCACGATGTATCGGCTCGGGCTTCATGACTTTCAAACCAGGCCCTACTCCATCTCCTGCTATTTTTGGTGGGGCATGTGGGAGCAATGGTTTCTCCTTTTGAGACGAGCTGCTGAACGAGCCTACGTCTGACAATGTTGGCGTATCTGATGGTGGGGTGTATACTGGTAGCCCAGGCCTGGCTCCAGTTGGGCTTCCACCCCTCGCACGTCGGCTTCCCCAGAGTGCTCGATCTTCGGCTGCCAGTGCACTGACATGAGCCTTCGCGCCCTTTCGTGCCATGCGGTCTCGAATAAAGTATCGCACAAAGAATCCAAGTATGAATGCTCCAATTAGGCCTATGGCCACGCCAGTTCCGAGTCCGGTAGTCGCACGTCCTGGCCGTATGCGCCCGAGGGCGCCGATTTTGCGAGCTTGAAGTAGAGTGTGATATCCGCTGCTGGATTCCAGCGACAGAGGGTCGGCGGTGGCGAGTGGGATGAACATTGCTGCGAGCCGGTGGTGCTGATGGTTTACCAGCTTGACTTCCCGCTGGGCTTTTAATTTATGGATGATACTGCAAAGTGTCGACTGCTGAACTCGGGGTGTGGTGAGGTAGGTCCTTGGTGGTGAGAGGAAGGAGGACACGGGGTTGTTGAGGAAGAACTGAAGCCGGGCTGAGAGGTAAGGGGCCCTTGGAATCTGGCGGCCTTTCTCTGCTGGATCCGTCGATACACGTATGCAATTGTACAGTGCACGAGTCGCAGCCAACCGGCCGCGCAATATATATAGATGAAAACTACCACTGATGGCCTAGGCCTACAACGACCATCAGCATGCATGCAGAGAGAGACCACTGCTCAACGGCGGCCCTGCATGCCTGGCCTGGGGTCAGTCCATCAATCCCCCCAATCTAACGGTCGGTTAACCGGATATAATCCCACGGGAGCTCTGGGGGACAGAGGTCTAGCAAACTCGGCCGATCCACTGCAACAAAGCTTGAATCGGTCAGGACTGCCCCCACACTTCACTGATGTTGTTTCTCTCAGCACAGTGTCTGCGCTCGGACATGTCGACGTATACGGAGGCACTCAGATGCCACATACGACAGTGCCCCTCATGATTTGGTGTACCGTTTAGAGGGAGTGCAT